CAGGAAGCCCTGCTGCTCAGTGCCTCACAGCTCTCGGGTCAGACCGGGCCACGTTCTGTGTGGAGCCTGCGTGTGCTCACTGTGTGGTTGTGACAATGCCGTGCCACGATCCACAAAATTCACAGCCTAGTCAGCTTGTCACCTCCATTTCTGTGTTGTGGCGGCCTGTTGCTGTGGTGGACAGAACCCCTCTGCTCTTCTAGATGTTTCGGTGGTCCCCTCTTGGGACACTAGGAAGGTCCATTCACTATTCTGCTCAACTCTTCAATTATCAGTCAATGTTAAGTAGACCAGAACAGTTACTCCATGTCACTCAAATTAAAAATTATAATATTCTCAAACTTCCCTTGTATACAAAGGGACCCTGGTACATTAATCTTGACTTAACCTCTTATACCCAGTCGCCATCTTCATTTTAATAAGTACTGATCCCTTTCTGTAAAGAGCCAGCAGGGTATTCTACTCTAGTTACTAGAACATGCCACCCCTTTCATTCTGTGTTGAAAAATCATTCATTACCTTCACTCAAAAATCACCCTTCATATCTCATACTGGCTGATCCTGTCTGGCAAGGAACGCAGCTTTCCGAGTTCATCAAAAAACACTTTCACTTCAGCGGTCGGTTGGACTCTCTCAGCTCTCTCTCAGTCGGCTGGCACACACCTGTCTGCTGATGTTAGAGCCCAGTTGCACCCATGACCTCACCTGGGCTGACTAGACCCCCTGTAGACCCCCGACACTCACCTGGCAGGGGCGCTGGTTGGTCACTGTCTCACAGGAAGCCAGGCTGCTGCTCGTGACCCTGCTGCCTTCTCCCCCCCAGGGATCATGGCTGAGCAGTTTGTGCCGGACGGCCCCCACGCCCGCCTCTATAACCGCGAGGACCACGCCTGGGTGAAGCTGATGAACTGGCAGCACAGCACCATGTACCTCTTCTATGGCGTCTCGGGCATCGCCGACCTCCTGACCGCCTCCCCGCTGCCGGCGCCGCCGGGCCTGGACCGGCTGGCCCTGTCCCTCGCGCTCTTCGTGGAAGGTGGGTCCACTCGGTCGGCGCCGGCCCCCCAGGGGGCAGAGTGACAGGCGACGGCGTTAAAAGACCAAACCCCAGGGAGATTTTCAAACCAAAAAGAAACATCGCTTACAAAGTTAAAAAAGAAAAGCTCCAGAAGTGCCCTGTGTGCCCTCTCGGGGTCAGGGGGACTGATGGATGAGCTTTACACCCGGATGTCTCTGGCTTCTGTCCGATTATGGCCGGGCTCAGGTCAGAGTTGGACACGGAGGTTTTTCCAGCTCATGCTTCAGCTGGGTCAGACGGAGTGCTCGCGGCTCCTGACTGGTTTCTGTGTGTGCTCCCGTTAGCGTAACTGCCCCCCTGCCCTCTCCCTCCTGCCCCAGGCTTCCTGTTCTACTTCCACGTGCACAGCCGCACCCCGCTGGACGTGCACGTGCACTCCCTCCTGCTGGTGGCCGTGTTCGGGGGGGCGGCCAGCACCTTCCTGGAGGTCTTCCTGAGGGACAGCCCCGTGCTGCAGCTCTTCCGGGCCAGCCTGGCCATCCTGCAGGGCACCTGGTTCTGGCAGGTACCCCGCCGACGCTCCGGTCCGCCCGCACACACCCTGGCCCCGCAGGCTCCGGGCCGGGGCCTCTTGCGGAGGGGCACCTCCGCCCCCCCCCCGCCGCACAGAAGGAGCGAAACGCAGCTGAATTATCTGACTGCACATTTCCTGTGCTCTGTCACTCTCACACATCGTAAGTCAGGGGTTAGCTTGCTGTCTGAGAGCAGGGCTGGGGGTGGGGTCAGGCGAGGAAGGACACTGATCACGACCGGCCGCGCTGCACATCACCACTGAAGAATCCGCCCAGGACATTCGCCCTCATCAGGCAGTGGAGGGGTTAGGGTCAACAGGGTGAGTCCTGAGAGGTTCCGATATCAATTTTCATTTATATGCAAAACGGAGCTCGAGGGTCTGTCTGTCACCAGGATAATAATATTTAAAGCAAAAAAAATAAGGTGTCCTATTTCTCACGTTGACAAGACAACGCTGATTGGGATGACAGAATGCTGTATTTTTTTAAATTAAATAAAATAACAGCTCCAGACCCTGAACTGAGAGCCTGGCAGGAGTCCCTGACAGGAGTGCTGTGTGCATCTACACTAAAGATAAGCCAGGGGACTGCCGGAGCGCAGGGAGGGTTCTGACGCCATGCCTGTGTCTGCAGATCGGGTTCGTGCTGTACCCTCCTGGAGGCGGCGAGCAGTGGGACGAAAAGGACCACAACAACATTATGTTCATCACCATGTGCTACTGCTGGCACTACGCCGCCGCCCTTCTGGTCATTGCGGGGAATTACACAGCAGTCTGGTGGTGAGTGGCCACAATACGAGGAGGGGGGGGAGGGTTTCCCTGGAATGAGCAGTTTGGAAAATAATAATATTGTCGACGGGGAAGGTATTCATACCCTGGGTACAAAGCCTATAAAGGCAGTATAACCACTGGCATTCTCCTGGAGCAGGCTGAGCCAGGTACCTCACTCCAGGGTACAACTGCAGTGTTCCAGGTGGGATTCGAACCCACAACCTCCCAGTGACTAACCTAGAGCTCTGACGACTCTCTGTCTCCTCTGCCCCCCTGGCTGTGCTCAGCTGTGTGCGGAGGCGAGCCGCGAGGGAGGGAGAAGACATGGAGATCAGGCTGCTGAAGACCAGCTCTTCTGACACCAGTTCTCACAAGGCCCTGCTCCAGGAGTCCGAAGAGGAGTAGACAGATGGACGAACTGGCAGACCTGGCAGGACTGGAGTCTCTGCCCGGGATCCCCTGGTTTGTACTGGGCAACCTGGGACAACACAACCTGCAGACGACACGGCACTGCCCTGGGCACCAGGCAGCCAGACCCCCCCTTCCAGGATGGGCCAAATGCACAAATTACGAGTTTTTCTCCAGCTTTTCAGACTGCTGAGAATTTGTGTCTTTCTTTTATTTTTAAAAGGACAACTTTAAGATTTCTTCATTTATTTTAAATTTTACAATAAAATCTAACTGCTGTCCACACTACCTACCCATCCTCGGGCTGGTCTTCACTATCCGGTGATGAAAAAAATGTTTTATGGTGATTATGCACTCAGACCACATTCTTGGGGAAGTCCCCTAGTAACAGACTCCACTGGGGATCTCTCTCAGACTATACTTAATAAAAACAAAGTTTCTCGATGGTATAGATAGATAGGTATCTCCACACTTGTGAATTCCCAGACCTGCTGGGCTCTGGTTCCTCTCTGGCGTTTCCCTGTCAATCTGTGCTCAGAAGCACAAGCGCAGTCACACTGTGAGTGAACGTGGGTCTGCGTGGATTAGTGTGAAGCAAGTGGAGCTGAAACCTTTAACCCAGTGGGCAAGTTTGTTCTCGAAAAGATGGATCTTCTATCTAGAGGTCCCGCACTGAGCTTTCGAATCAGAGGTTTAGAAATCACAAATCAATTCCTGGATATCCCAGAAAAACTATTGCTCCATTTTCAAAAGGAATTTTGGATTTGTAGGAGACACTACAAATCCCAGCAGCTATCTGCAACACTGCAAATGAACCTGGGACCTTGCTAAAGTAAAGAAACGGTGTCCTAAAACTGAGCCAGAGGGCAATGAAATTTAGACACCGAGGCCTGGGGCACGTCCTGTCGTTACTGAGGGACACAGCAGTGTGCTCAGTGGTCAGTGAGGCACTGAGCTCCTCCTCTCCGCAGAGTACAAGACTGACTAGGCAGCCTGCGCCGTTCACAAGAGAACAAGTTTGCCTTCACGTGGCACAAAGAAGCACAGCAATCAGAAGGATATGAAAGTACGGCCTGGGAACCGCAGTTCGAGATTCATGATTTCTAACCTGTGGGAAGTGGGCTGGGAGGGGCCGGCCAGCTGCAGGGGTGCCGTCGGGGCTCACAGTCAGCCGCTTGCAGGGCGCAGCGCCAGCAGGGCTCCGGAGGCGCGGGGCTCTGGGGAAGGCGGCGGGCCAGCCAGGTCGGCAGGGTCGGGGATGCCCATGAAGACACACCTGTGGAGTAACC